CTTCAACAATAAGAACTAAATCACACGGCCCCTTAATCGCCCAAGCGAAGGGAAAGGCAAAAAGCAAACTAACTTTAAAAAGTATGCCACGATTAATATAATAGGCACAACATCTGCCGAGTAGTGTTGAAATGCCACAAAGAATTTTCGTGGCAGAACAACACGCTTTGTCTAAGGCGACAACTTGGGACTAACCTGTTTGTGTAGTTGTGTACCCACACTGTAAATGTTATGTACTCTATTATTATTATTATTATTTTATGTAATATTTATAAGTCGACATATATATTATCGTTTCATATTGTATAGTATCTGTGATACTAATTTTAATAAATTATTTTTGAGTTTAAGTTTTGCACCAGCCCGCTACGCCAGACGTCCGCGGTTCGAGACCAGATCGTTTAACTTTTGTTTTTAATCTATTTTTAACTTTTTTGTGTAGTTTGTTTTTGTTATAGTTTTTGTTTATTGCTTGATTAGGTTTATATGCAATTTTTAGGCATTTTTATTTTTGTATATAAATTTGATTTATGCACTCACTTGTAGCGGCTGACTTAAATATCATCATATCATAAGTCTTTTTATTTCTGCTTCGGTATATCTCGATATATTAAACAAAAACTAGAGAGCACCAAAAACAACACCTTACTTTATCGTATTCAAATATAATAATGAATTGCTTAAAAAATAATCATAGTTTCACAGATTGTAGATCGAATCCTTGTAGACATTGCAACAAATATCACAATTTTATTTTATTTTGGTAATGAAAATTCTTATAATAATACTAACAATAATAAAAATATTAGTGATTCTAATCCTAATGGTTACTCAAATAGCAAATTTAGTGGTAATTATGATAGTAATTTAAATAATAATGATGCAACTCTGGTTGATAATCGCAATGTAAACAAAACCGTAACCCTCGTAATAATATTACAGAAAATGAAATCTTCGAATTCGTTGTAGAAAATTCAAATTGGGCATTTAGTAAATCTAACGCAATAATATTTTTAGCTACTGCTATCTTTTATAAGCCTTTTTTCTGTTTTGTTTTGGTGTTGGGAAATATTTCTAATATTTGTATATCTTTGATGTAGATGTCTTTTGAACAATGGGTCTCAAAGTTATTTCATGACATAATTTGCTTAATAAAATATTCGAGAATCAATTTTTCTATTATGGGTGATATTCAAAGCCAAACAAACATTTCGATTAAAACTTCTTCTAAAATACAATAACTATAATTATAGTATTAATACTTAATTAGATTTCTTGGTTTTGAATAATATTAGTGGTAATACACAACACAAACTGTTAATAAATTAACTTTTGAGATACCTTAAAACGTAAAGCTCGCCGATCCAAACAAACATTTCGATTAAAACTTCTTCTAAAATTCAATCACTATAATACTTCATTAGATTTCTTGGTTTTGAATAATATTACTGGTAATACACCAACACAAACTGTTAATAAATTAACTTTTGAGATACCTTATAACGTAAAGCTCGCCGATCCAACGTTTAACAAATGTGAACCCTATTGAAAATGTCATATAGAACCATATAAAAAACCGTATCAGGATTCTATATGACTTCTATCTGGTTCAATAAAGGTATTTGAAATAGGCATTTCACTGTAGAAATAGATAGAATATAACATTATAGAAACAGATAGAAACACTATAAAACACTATAGAACCAGATAGATTTTCCTATAAAACCAGATAGATTTCCCTATAAAACCAGATAGATTTTCCTATAGACCCAGATAGATTTCCCTATAGAACCAGATGAATTTCCCTATACAACCAGATAGAATCACAATAGAACCATAAGTTTTATCTGGCCCAATATTTGCTTATGGGCATAATAAAACTAACTGTTAACTACCTTAATTGTACTTTTGTGCAGCCTAGCTTTCTTTAAAGGTTTAAATACATTGTTCTAAATTAGTGCAGTGCTCACTTATAATGGACAATAAGCCTAAACGATATAGGCAGTATTTAGATTTTTTTGGACTGGCCCAACTTTCCTTCATTTATTTGCTTGAACGCCATCTTCAATGAATCTCACGAAGGCGTATTGGTTCATAATAGGTACTAGTGGCGGATTGCGCCTCACCAGCCCCCTGCCACCCATAATTAAAATTATTCAAAGTTATTAAAGTGGTGCAATTCATAATTTACCAAAGTTTATCGAAAAATTTTAAAATTTATTTTTAAAATCTAAGACTTGCAGATTTTATACCATTTTTAATTTTTTTTAATTTTAGTTTAAAGAATAATAAAAATTAAAATGGTATGAAATCTGTAATTCTTAGATTTTTTAAATAAATTGAAATTTGCCGATAAAATTTAGTGATTTATGAATTGCACCACTTTAATTTGAATATTCTTAATAAGGGGTGGCAGGGGGCTTGTGAGGCGCGCTGAAAAATAACTTTTTTCGCAAACTTCAATTTAAATTCTGCTTGCGCAGAACTTGTCTATTTAATGTCATTATAAAGTCAAATAAGTGTGGTGTGGGTCCCATGTCTACTAAGTGAGATATCGGTATACCCAAAATCCACAATCCGCCACTGATAGGTACCTACTATAATATATGACTATGGTCAAAACCCACTAATAATAATAATAATATGTATTATTACTTTTTATTATTTAATAAACACAACATAAAAAATAAACATACCGCGGCTGTTTACTGTCTTCTATGCTAATGGCCGTTCGATGATAGCAGGGTTGCCAGACTTATTTTTAGACGAGTAGCCGCGATTAATTTAAAGAATAAAAATTAAATAAATGTAAACATGTTAAGAAATATTTATTTATTTAGTAGAATACAACGCATTGTTCCTGCGTATAATGGTGTTACTATTTTTTGTAGTGAAAAAAAATGAGTAGGTAAATAAAAATACCAATCGACGTGTCCGAGCGTTTTTTGGAACACGAGTCGTGTATCAGCCAAACGGAATAAATTCGATAATACATAAATGGAGTCGTGTTACACGACTCCATTTATGTATTATCGAATTTATTCCGTTTGGCTGATACACACTGTATATATTTCTGCAACTTATACCTATTTATAGTTAGTTAAGAATTTGTACTTTTGACTGTTTAAGTTTGTTATTTAAATTTAAGCAATTATATGCAAAGATAATACACCCCATAGATTGGAAACTGCACTAGCGCTAGCGGCAAAACCCTAAAGTAAATTAACGCCATCTAGGTCTACAATACCCTTAGCAATGCTAGGGTCTGTAACATATATTGGCGCCATATTTGAATGTTGATGCTTCGTAGGTTGCTTTTATATATTGTATTTACTGCTGTATTTTAAATAAAACAAGTATGAATATAAGATTTATTTATTGTATTAATAATATAATATAAAATAAAATTCATACATCTATATGTACATATTAAATAAATAATCGGTATACATGTTTGTGGAGTGCCAACCTAAAAAATAATAAGAGAATATTGCAAAATTTGGTAATTTAGTCCAGGCTACTTATACATATACATATAGGAATTTGTACAAGGCTTTTGAGTGTGGACTTTTGGCAAGTTCTAACCAACCGTGAAAAAACCATCTTGCCAACTATTGGTTTTGAAACAACCATTAGTAGCCTGGGCTTGGCCTGGACTAAATTACCATTAAACAAGCAATCCTAAATAATTCGTAATTAACAAACAGTATTTTTGCGCTAGAGCGATACTGCCGTGCTTAGCCAAAAAGACGCAACTTCACATTTTTACTTTATAAATTATAGCGCTTTATTGTTTTTTTTCTAAGATACGTTCAATTTAATTAGACATTTTTAGGAGCTATGGTACTTAAAAATGTATGTATAGTTAAAATGCGTCTTTTTTTCTAAGAGAATAATTTAATAATAATGAGATTAGTCTTTTTGGTTTAGGACGACAGGATAGTCAATACTTACAAATTGGTTACATTTTCGCGCCCAACAATACATTTCACAACCATTAACACGTTTTATCACTTTTAAGGCGCAAAAATGTATTTAATATTTCAAAAATTATGATCGACATCAATAATTATGATTGACACTGACATTTGCAAATAGCGTTTGTGGTCTGTGGTTTGTACAGATATCTGCAATTTACAAATAAATATAGTTCAGGTATTGTAGCTCTAGAGGGCAGTGATGGGAGAGCTTCCAATCTATGGGGTGTATTATCTTTGATTATATGTGCTTACCTATGTATATATTTATATATGTATAAGTAAAACCATACTTAAAACTTAAATTATTATATTACTAAAAAATTAATAATAATAAATGATCAATTAAAAAATCATTATTTTATAAAATCTACTTAATATTATTGGCCTACCATCACAACATAAATGTAAAACACCTGAACGGAATCTTAAAAATCGGGCCTTTGACAATTTTTTATTTACAATATAAAAACGTAAAAAAATATGTGAAATCAGGGGGCCCAGTAAAGATTTTCGCGGGGGTTAAAATTTGTCGCTACGCCAACAAGATCCCATAAAATTAATAAAACTTATATTTCCCGGTCAACATTGTAACGTAACATTAACCAGCATGTTATGCAACGATTGTGTTGTGTTACATAACCTGATGGTTTCAAATAGGTTCCTATTTTCCACTTATTGAAGTAACATTGTTACATAACAATGTTACGTTGTCGTTACTAAATGCATTATAACTTTTATGTTGTTGAAATATAACTTTTTAATGGATTACAATGTTACATTGCCGTTATGAAAGTGAAAGATAACGTTCGACACTGTAACGTAACATTAACCAAAATGTTATGCAACGATCGTAATATGTAACATTACAGTTACTGTAACTGAGTTACATAACCTGATGGTTGCAAATAGGTTCATATTTCCCACTTTTTGAAGTAACATTTTTGCAATGTAAATTATGTTACATGACATGACCTTTGGGGTTATGTTACATTATTACGTTGCAACGTTACTATGCTCGACATGACAAAGTCCCAGTAAGTTTACCGCTAAAGCACATATGAATTATAACTTTTCCATAATCAGGCAGACTGCTTGAGGATCAATGACAAATGGACATAGTACGCTTGTCTTAACCTCGTTTATATACCTAGCCGAGGTTAGTAACACGAGCGAGATGTAAATGATCTGTATAAGGATTATAATACCATAGTTTGTTCCGTAACATAAATATAATTGTTACGTTACAATATTATCGCAATGTTACGTTCTTGTTATATTGCTTATCGCCGACGGTGGACGAGTGGTTAGTGCTGCTGACTACAAGCCGGAGGTCGTGGGTTCGAATCCCACCAGGGGTATGGCTGTTTATTTGTGTTTGTCCTATTGTGTAATAGTCCTTCGGAGGGGACTTTAAGCCCGCGGTCCGTTCCTACCCCTAACCCGCACAAGCTATTCAGTTGGCTTATGGGACTTCTTAAGAAGTAAGGGTGGAACTAAAAGAGCACTTTTGTATATAAACTTTTTTGTTATATTGCTTATTGGTAATTTTGTTATGCTACAATAGTTTCACAATGTTACCTTGTTGTTACATTCCTTATTTATAATTTTGTTACATTACATTAGTTTTACAATGTCACAATGTTGTTACATTGCTAATTGGTAATTTTGTTATATTACAATTGTTTCACAATGTTACCTACAATTGTTAATTAGACGCCCTGCATATCGGAAGTGCGAATTTTTGTCAAGTGTCGATATTATATATTATGCCGACCGGCCCTTCAAAACTTTTATATTTATGTCGTATTGAAATAAACTAAAATACGAAATTGTGAGCAACAAGATTTGTAGTGAGCAAATCTCATCTAAAGAACAAGTGCCTGAAAAATACTCACTACTAGTGAGTCACTAGTATTTTGGTGGGTCCCCCCACAGGATGCATTCACTAGAATCTGATTGTTATTTCTGCATACTGTGTTTCTCTGATACACGAGTCCCGTCCCATATAATATAATATAAGTTGGCTTAGTCACTAGAAAAATATTTTTCTAATCAAAACGTAATTAACACTGCAAAATCTACTAGAACATTGTTTATTACTTGCTACAAATTTCCTACTTACTTAATTATACTCGTTTCTAATCATTAATATTGTCTTAATATTAATGATGTTTTAATCAAGTTTAAATTTCTTTTACCGCTCACTTCAAAGCTTTTCCGTTGATGTGTTTTATTATTCGGAATGACAATATGTATTAAATCTTCAATTTATTTAATATTATCTGTGGTTAAATAAACTAAAATATATACCATGTTAATTTATGTATGATATAAAATTTATTTTATTTTAACGTATGAAATATTGCTTAAATATAAATTTAAAAGATTTATAATTATACAAATTTAAAAGATTCTTATTTTTAGGATTTATTTACTACCTTCCAACTGATACCTGTTATCTACCATATAGACAAGGACCCTGTAAAAAGGATTTTCATTTAGTTTACAATAAATACTTTAAAAAATCTGAATGTGTTAAAAATCCATGTAAAGAGGGTTTTGCGAAGTATTTTATAATAAAATAAGTACTAATATTTGTAATATTACATAATACTATTTTTAGATACAAAGGAAATTGTTATGAGTTGGGACAACCGTTTGGACCTTGTGCACAAACTGATATGGATCCACACATTTTTGATGTTAATGCAACGACATTAAACGTAGAATGTTTGTCTGGAGCGGATACATTGTATTTATTTGATGTTGAAAAAGTATGTAGGCCAGGAAGTAAAAAAGACGCAGATGGAAAATGTAGGGAGGAATTTTAATGCATTTTCAAAATATTACTATAAACTACCTATATAAAATTATAATACTACGTAAACTTATATACCTTATCTTAAAATTTAGGCTCTAAAATTTGGAGTAAATTATAAATTATTATAAAGACAATACAATTCATTAATATTAGAACCAATAAAATGCCAGTATTCCATAGTGACGTATTTTATCACAGCGGCAATAATTTTTATCATCTTGTTTACACGTTACTAAGAATTTTGACACTTTTTTTGATTTAACATCTGTTGTCATTTAAATTCTGTATTTGATATATATCAATAAAATAATGAATTATAAACTCTAAAAGATCGATGGGTTGGTGTAAACGATAATGAAATTAAGGTAAGTTTGAATAAATAAGGTTTATTAAAGTCTTTTTATATTTTAAAGCACATTTTATTTTTAAATGTCAATCTGACAAATTTTTTAATTCCAAAAATTCATTATATTTTCTCACTAAATATAACTCGTGGTATGATTAATAATCGAAGATATTTACTCATTGAAACCGAAGCAGCACATTTCACTCGTCCTCCGGACTCGTGAAATCTGCAGCTTGGTTTCAATTCGAAAATATCATCGATGATAATCATACCACTTGTTATATTATGGGTGAAAGTATACAAAACTGTTGATAAATTGGTTATTTTCTTTTACGTATAGCATTAAGACAATAGAAGACTGTTTCGATTTGCAGGAAAAATTAAATATACGTATTTAGTAATTGATGTAAATTCAATAAAGTATCGATTAACAATTACATTGAGATATACCGTATACCTTACTTAAAATGCTTGGTTTTATTATTAGAAACTAAATAATTTAGAGAGTGCAATCAAAATATTGTATTTTTCATTGGTAAAATTAAGGTTGGTGTTACATGTTGATAAATTTAGTATATTTTGTATTATATAGTTTATGTGTTGGCAACACTTGCAAAAGCGGAAGTGTGCCTACCCAAGATACATATACCTTAAGATAGGTGCGCAATGCGCACTGCGCATGTTGGGCGGGGCTTAAATACGTCACTTGATGAGTGTTTTTAAATCTTTAACGTGCTTTTTAATTATCTGCTTCTAAAATTCTTGTTTTTGCGATGCTGTTGGATGTTAACTTGCTCTATTTTTTGTTTAACTTGTTGTTTTTGTGTTTGGTAAGGTTAGAATTACATTTCAGTGTTGAAATTATTGTTAATGCGTTGTGTTAACCTGTTCTGTTTGTTTAATATTGTTTTTGTGTTGCGTTAACTTGTTTTGTTTGTGTTTTAGTTTGTGTCGTGCCATTTGCATTTATTAAAATGCGGTTTGGCATATTTGAATGCAATTCGAACAACCAGTCCAAGAAAAACACTTTAAATAAAAACATTAAATTTAATCGATTCCCGAAAAAGTTTGATTTGTGGAAACAGTGTTTTAATACCACAAAAAGAATAGACAATATTAAAGTTAAGCCCGCTTCTGTTTCCTATAAACATTTTCTGGACAGTGACTATAAGTTTAATTTAAAACACCAACGCTTAAACTACAGCCCTAAATGTTATCAAGGACTGAAAGCATCTATTATCCATATTATAACACTTTCTTCAATATTAAGTTTAATAAAAACGCACTATGTCCAGATATTTCTCTATTTTCTTTGATTATTTATTTAATTGTATATTTCACTGTATAATAGTTTAACAAAACAGTTTTTTAACTGGTACCGCCAAACAATTTTAATTTTCTTTATATACGTCATTTCTCTTTTTAACTATTCCATTCATAATATTTATTTCTATTAAATACTATATTTCCTACATTTTTATCCTTTTACAAAAATTTTGACTTTTCTGACTGACATTGAAATAATAATATTAGTATTATTCGTGTATTCTCACGGCAACTACCCATCAAGTGACTCATCATGCGCGGGACGAACCAAAACTCGTACACGGGAGCATCCAGCCCTGGTGCATACCTCTCTCTCTCACACACGCTCTTGGGTGATGTCTATTGTAATAGCAAAGACGTTCAAATATATACTTAAAGAAATCCATTAATATTTTAATTATTATTAATAATCAGCACCTGTAAACCACATAACATAGCGCAGTCGTAAAAGAAGAACAAAAGTAAATTAGTATTGCTAGTGAAACAGTACAAAAACAGAAAAAGAGAGGTTAGTCGCGTGGAAAAAGTGAGGTTAAAAAGAAATAGAAAACAAACAAGTGAAGATGGAATTCTTAAAACAGCCCAAAAGCATGCTGTACCAAAGGCAAAAACCAGTCTGGCGAGACAGAAATTTAACAGCAGAATACAAGGGGTGGATGAAGATTTTGACTCGTATTTGAAAGAACTGAGACAATTAGCTCAACCTTGTGAATATGGTGAGCTTAAAGAAAGTATTATTGAAGATGTTATTATTAGTGGTATTAGAGAAGAAAAAGTGAAAAACAAATTACTAACCTATGACAGAAACCTTACGTTGGACATGGAAATAAAGATATGTAAAGCTTCCGAAGCAGCAAACAAAAACATTATGCCCTTGCAGCAGGAAAGAGTGAAGACAAAACAATAAATTAAGTAAACAAAGAGACAAAAAAATATGGTAATGGAAATCAACAACGAGGCAGTTTTGAACACAGAAATCAACGAGGCAGTTTTAAGCACAGAAATCAACATAGCAATTATGGTAATGAAAATCAACAACGAGGCAGATACAATCACAGAAATCAGCAGGGAGGCAGTAACTTTTACCAAGGCACAAATAAGATAAGTAAATGTAATAATTGTGGTTACTCGCATGTAATAAATGGTCATTGTCCAGCTAGGGGCAAAACTTGTAACTATTGCAAAAAACCAAATCATTTTTCTACAGTCTGTAGAAACAAAAATAAACCATTACATGAAATAACTACAACTAAATCAAATAACTATGTACTAGATACCATTTATTCTGATGATAGTTTACAATGGTTTGTCAACATTAAAATTTTAAATTGCAATAAAACTGTTAAATTTAAAGTGGATACAGGGGCACAGATTAATGCTATACCTAGTAAGGTTTATTAAATTTTAAATTTAAATAACAAGCTGGAACCTTGTTACTATAATATTTCAAATTATACTGGTAGCAGAATTAATGTTATTGGTAAAATTAAATTAGACTGTTTATGTATGAAGACAAGATGCATACTATTGAGTTTATTATTGTTGAAACAAATAACAATAGTGCTCCAGTGTTAGGCCTTGAAACAGTTCAGAAATTAAATATTTTAAGTACAATAAATTTAATCTCAAATAAAACTTCAGGAAGTGAACAACTAATAAATGAAAATATAAATTTATTTGAAGGCATTGGTAAAATTTCAGGCTATAAATGTAATTTTAAATTAAAAGAAAATTATGAATCATTTGTTTCACCTTGTAGAAAGATTCCATTCCAATTAATAAATAAATTAAAAATTGAACTAAACCAAATGTAAAGGTTACAGAACCAACTGAGTTTGTTAATCCGATAATTATTGTCAAAAAAACAAATAATGACATACGAATATGTCTAGATCCGCAAAAACTAAACAATGCTATTTGCAGGGAACATTATCACTTACCTACATTTGAAGATTTAACAAGAGAGATATCAGGATCAAAAATATTTTCAACCTTAGATGCAAATCGAGGATTTTGGGCCATTGAGCTTACTTATTCATCTTCTATCCTGACCACATTTACCACAACATTTGGGAGGTACAGATTTTGCAGACTACCCTATGGCATCTCAATAGCACCGGAGATTTTTCACAGAACGTACACAGAAAGATTTGAAGGTGTTCCGGGGGTACAAATTTATATAGACGATATTATAATATATTCAAAAACTGAGAGTGAACATAAAAATACATAAAGTTAGTTTTAAATAGGGCTAGAGAAAAGGGTGTTAGATTTAATAGATTCAAATCAAAATTTTTCTTACAAGAGGTTAAATATATAGGACATATTATTTCAAATGAATCGATTAAGCTAGATAAAGAAAAAGTAGAGGCCATTAAACAAATTAAAATTCCAAAGAATTAACTAGATTCTTCAAATTTGTCTAACCTAACAACTAATTTGCGTAATTTAATTAAAAAGAACATAGAATTTAAATGGGAACAAATTCATGAACAGGAATTTAATAATTTAAAAACTTTATTAATGACAACACCAGTTTTACGATTTTATGATGAAAAAGTGGTTATAACTTTATTTGTTTATAGTTTTAAAGATGGGCTAGGTGCTGTAATTTTGCAAATTGGGGGTCCTGTAGCTTATGCTTCTAAAAGTTTAAATTCATCACAACAACAATATGCTCAGATTGAAAAGGAAATGTTAGCAATAACATTTGGTTGTCAACGTTTTCATCAGTACCTATATGGAAAATCATTTTTAGTAGAATCAGATCATAAACCTTTGGAATATATCTTTAAAAAACCGTTAAGTGATTGTCCTTTGAGATTTGAAAGACTTATATATAAACCCGTTTTTTTTTTCTTTGGCCGGCGGAGGGTTTCTTTACGAACACTCTGTTCCTCTTGGGGCCCCGAGTAGTGTGGGACTCCGTCTATTGACGTATACCCACTAAAACTCCCCCGTTGTTATTACTTCCTTAGCTCTAGCTCCGTTGCTTCTATGAAGCGCAGTAGCCGAGGCAGTGGGAGCAATTTTAAAAGTGCTGGTGTGAGTTTAGGTGTGTTCTTCTTAAGGTGTTGAATCCCTCACATTGACACATAATGTGAAGAGGTGTTTCCTCTTCTTCTTCGCATCCTCTACACAAGGGGTCATCTGTCATCCCTATTTTGTGAAGATGCTTTTTGAATGGAGCATGGCCTGTGAGACGACCTAATGCTTTCTTTAGTTGGGTCCTGGTATATGTCCTCATTGGTTTCTGCCCTTCAGCAGATGGATTGTCCAAAAGTGCTTTCGAATGCTCCAGACCAGACAGGCTTTCCCAGTATTGTTTGTGTTGTAGTTCTGTCCAGTCAATTAGTTTTTTCCTGGACGATTCTTGGCTGGCGCCGCATGTAGGTTCCGGCTCCATCAGCAGGGTTTCGGCTTCATCAGCTGCGAAGTTTGGCTTCCACCTCATCGAACTGTTTCTGCCTTCTTCTTGCACAAGGATAAGAGTTATCTGGTTTTGTGCTTCGGTTAATGCCGTCATATCTCTCAGACATTCTAGTACGGCCTTCAAATTGATTTCAAATTGCTCTCCCTCATTCGTTGGAAACTCTTTTCCCAGGTTTAGTATTTCTTGACTGCCCTGTTGAGATACCTCTTTTATGCCCGCAGAAACACCGGTCTTTGACCGTTTGTGTTCTACGTACCAGATTAGGTTTTCTTCTTGCCTGAGTCGGGCAATTTGGTTGTTTATCTCCTCAGACTTTATCCTTTTTGAGATAAAAGCTTTATTGAAGTGTTTGACCTTGGCTTTGTCTGTTCTAATGGCTAGACTGCCAGCATTTTCTAGCTTCTCAAATATGGCATTATGTCTGATGTTGGAAATAACTTCGGCCTTATTTTAGATTAGTCTCTGGGCTCCCGCTCACGCTTCAGCTTTAATCTGAATGTGTAGAGGGGGGAGTCCTAGTATGTTTTCCATGGCTGCGGTCTGTGTAGTTGTCATTTAGTGTTTGCGATAGTGGGAAAAAATCAATATCGATAGTTTCGATGTTGATAGTTTCAAATATCGAAACTATCGATAGTTTATCGATAGTCTTTTATATACCTATTTTTATGTTATGTTATTTTCTTCTAAGATTTATGGCCGTTTCATAGAAATGGAAGGATAGCGATGTTTTTTTATGCAGTCGTGCACAACGAGTGTATTTTCTGCCTGTTTTAAAAGTATGGCCTGAAAAAGGATAAGAAGTGTTTGCTTGGTAACGGTGTGCTGCAAGGGAGGAACAAAACATAACCGTGACATATCGATAGTCGCAGTGGCAACTATCGATACTTTCGATAGTGCTGTACGATTGTCTAACATCGATACTATCGATAAATTATCGATATCGATGGCAAACAAGTAGTTCAAGTGTTCTAAGTAAATCTGGCAACACCGCTGGTAATAAGAACAAGACAGAAGAACAACAAACTGTCAAAAATAAAAATGAAGTTAAAAGTAAACAAAATGTTATTTATCCAAATATTATAAAAGGAACTGCCGAAATTGCAGAAGAAGATGAATTTAAGGCAACGCCGAAAAAAGCTTGGCTCTATATTGGCAGGGCACAACCAAACACATGTGAGGAAAAATTAACAAACTACCTGAAAAAAAAAGTTTTCAGCAGAAACTTTTGAAGTAGAAGAACTAAAAAAGCATGAAAATAATACAAACAAAAATAAGTCTTTCAGGATTGGCTTTGATTTTGACTTATTGGAGTTAGTCCTGAAGCCCGAGGTTTGGCCTAGAAATTTTATTGTACGGAAATATACCTTTCGAAAACAAACGGAATCTGAATTGTAAATTACTTAATATGCTAAATTTAAACATCCAGTCCATAGTAACAAAAGTGGATCAGCTACAACTGATAGCATCTGAAAACAAGCTAGATGTCATGTGCATTACAGAACACTGGCTAGACAACAATCAAGTCCAACAAATGAAATTGGAAAGTTATAAAATTGTAAGATATTTTTCAAGAAAGAACAATAAACATGGCGGAGTTATGATTGCAATAAAAAACCAAATCATAACAAGTTAAATTGAAGCAATTTAATCATTTTCTGTAGAGAAAGACATAGAGGCAGCTGGAATAATTATTACAAGCATAAATATTATTATAATAACATTATATCGAGCACCCAGTGGAAACCATGATACTTTTATTTTTCAAATAAAGTTAATCCTGGAATTCTTAAATTCAAAATTTAAAGAAAAATATGTTATTGTAGCTGGTGACTTTAATATAAACTTTTTGATTAAAAGTAAAGAGCTAGTAAACTTTATAAACTTAATGAAAAGTTATGGTCTCCATACAACATTCAGAGAGCCTTCACGCATAAGTAAAACAACAAAAACTTGTATAGATAATGTATTTACAAATAAATATCATACACATAGTTTAACAAAGAAACTACACATATCAGATCACTTGGGCCAATTTGTATTCTTACCAAAAAGTAAAGAAAAACCTAAAAACATATTTAAAATAATAGAAAAAAGAATAATTAATGAAGAAAATACTTATCAACTAAAAAAGCCCCAGTAGCACACCAATATTGGTGAAATATTATTTTTACATATTGGCCCAATGATGGAAACGTCAGATTGTATTTTAATGGTCCTATATTTGTATTTAATATTGATCCAATATTGACGTACAATATTAACCCAATATAGGTGACATTTATTTTACCATTTTAGTTTGTAAATATAGGTCCAATATTTGTATTTAATACCGATCCAATATTTAAATGCAATATGTACCCAATATTTGTGCCATATATTTTACCATTTTAGTTTGCAAATATAGGACCTACCCAGCTAGCACAGAAACATCCCAACAATGTACAGCGATGTAAAATTGGGTACATTTAACCTCCCGTGCAATGTACTGTTGATATCGCATGTCTATTGAGGCAACCTCCGAATTTCCGCAACATGTTTACATTGGACAATGTTTTCGAGATGTTACTTTGTTACGTACTGAAAACGTTAGTTTGAAACATCAATTAAAGTAACTTTAAAACATGCATGCTATGTTTAGATGTAATGTTCCATGAATGTAACTTATTGATATA